ATAATCAGTTCTTTTGGCCATGCTACAAGAAAATAGATGATGTTGAAAGGTTAGCAGTAAGACAATCTTTCTGAGGGCTTTGTACTGTGCTTGGTTGAAGGAATTAAAAAAAGCACTACATGAGATCTACCATGGCCTGGGATCTGCTCTGGCTTTTAATTAAGACAAAGAAACTCCACTCATAGGCAACACTGCTGCATAGTTTTACTGGATTTTACATAAGGCAGCAGCTCTGTGATAGCTGTCTGGATCATTTTCATGAAGGAGTCTGTAAATGAAATAACAATCAAACATATTTCTCTTATAAAAAAACTGACACCACAAGAACATTCAAAAAACCAAGTATCAACCTCATTCCCTTAATCGCTTAATGTTAGGCTACAAGAAAATCCATGTGGAAAACAGCAAATAGAATTTACAGGTAAAATTGCCAGTAAGCCTGGTTGATTTTCTGCACTGATCTATACAGTCTATGCTGGTATTGTGTTCTAACCAGACCCCTCTGTACACATACTGCACTTGCGTTGCACACTGAGCCTCCATTCACATAATCCACGGATTATTTTTTTTCTTTAAAACTGCAAAATACAGTGTAGACAAACCAGAAAAGTATCAGAATGTTTGTGCTATAATTGAACTGCACAATTAAAATAACAAAGAAAGCAAAATGCAAAATGAGATGCTGTTGCCGAGTATATCATAGCGGCAGTGCACACAGCAGTTCCAGTTTTATGGATAAATACTTGGTAGCCAATTGTTTGTTAGAAGACTGTTACCTAGAACTTAAACTGTGCTGGTGATGCCTTCATGTCAGCATTTTCTGACTATTAGCGATTTCATTGTGCTGCTCAAAGTTGGCAATATTTTGTGTTTAAGTTCCGCTACTACGAGTTTTGTGTGTGTTTTACTAAAGAGCGTTGTAACACAGACCCTCGGGGGAAATTCCATTCCCCTTATTAAAAAATTGTGGCTATTTTATTTTCCTTATCTCTGCTATCCATTTCCTTTTGTTTCTCAATGCATTGCTGAAAATCACAAAGACATTTCCTTGTCTGCTTTACTTTGGACCCCTTTAATGAAAGCTCCTACATAATCAAAGTCACAGGATTCATTTGATGAAGTGAACCAGTTTTGCTGAAGGGTCACAGTTGGAGATTTAGCATTTCAGAAAAGCAAAAGATCTAAAGGCAGGAGAAACGGACAACAGTTTTTACAAGATATCAGATAAACATGCAGTAACACAGAGTGAAATTCAGCTCTTACAAAGCAGAACAGCTCAGTGTGATCTGTCTTAACTACAACCAGGTGATCGGAGCCAGCCTCCCTGCAGAAAAGTGAGTCTCGCTTCCTTTGGCCTCATTAGTCTGTTTTCTGTGTCATGATGTCATGGCCAGGAGGCACTTAGTACTCACAGAAGCAGGGCTACAAGGAAGGGTGTAACATAAGAGGGAGCAAAACATGAGAGAAAAAGCATTTCCCTGCTCCCTTGTTTGTAGATACTACTCAGGCTGCTGCTCAGCAGGCAGCAGGAGATCAGACTTTCTGACCCTGAGAAACAGTGGTCATTGCCCATTTGCTTTCATCGGGAGCAGAAATCTTGAATAGCCAAAGTTTCTCAAGAAGCAGAAATTTCTGGTAAATGTTTGTGTAAAATACATTTTTCTGACACTGCCAATGCAAAGTATTTTGAAATTGTCAAACCAAAAGCCTGTGTTCGGTTGTGTCTCCTCGAGTTGTTGCTGCTGCTTATAGGACCTGCTATTCGGGTTCCTCGTGTCCCCAGGTCTCATCTGAGGGCCAGGCTCTTCACCAGGGTACACGTCGCCATGTGAGCCATGACCAAGCAGCTCCCAGAAAGCTCTCCCCCGCTTGGAGAGGCTGCACAGGCGTTGGCGGAGATCTTCAAGAAGGGGCCTCATCCACATCATCATCAAGCAGACTCAAGACACACATCCCGCTACAGGTTCAACAAGCTGAAAAGTCTTGTTCTGGAGAAGATTGAAATGAAACGCTTTCTTTTATTTTGCACCTACATTCAATAGAAAAGTGCCCATGAGAACCACCTTTTTGGCTCTAGGATCAGGCTGCTGTAAAGTGGCAGAGCCCGGGGTGCCTGAGTCTCAGGAGGAGGGAGCTCAAGGAGTAAGAGATAAGCAGCAGGGCCACTAGTGTCAGCCTTAGGCTTTTTCATGTGGACTACAGTGCACTTTAAGGCAGAGTTAAGCATTTACAGTGGAATTCATCTCGCTTTAAAGTAGATACCTCTTTCCTGTTCAGCTCAATAATATGCAGAGCTCCTTGGGCTCAATTTAGTGCTTAAACACAGGCACCAAGAGACACTGAAGATATCGGGAGGTTTTCTGTGTGACCTCCAGCTGCAGATCTGTGACCATGCGGTTGTCCATAAGTCCTGCACGATACCCCCCAGCTAGTGCAGATACCCCAGTATCCTAGACCATCTCTGATGGCACTAGCTGGTTATATTTAGGCAATTAACTCAAACTCTGTTGACCCTATTGACTGGATCTCCATTGACTATAATAAGAGCTTAGACATCTAGTGTTCAGACGTCTACATTTAACTGCCTGCATGTAGATGTCTAAGTCCTGTACTGAACTCCAAGGTGACTGTATCAGGAAAAATACAGTCAGTAACCCAAACCACTCACAAACTCGAGGGTGACATAAATGAAACACTGTCATTCCCCCCCAAAGCAAAGAGCTGCTCCTGGATTTTGCTTAGTTTTTGTTCCCCAAAGGACCTGGTTGATTCTACTGTCTTTTTTTTTCCTAGAGATTATATAGAAGTGTGTTTTAAGTAAGGATTTGAACCTCATGGTGTTCTGACTGGCTGAATTAGTGTTCAACACGCCATGTCCTTCAAAATGAGCATGCAGGTTTGCGAGAGGCATACCCCTGGCACGAAATTCATCAACTGCAGAGGCCAAGCTCTCCAAAAGTAGGTGGTTCCCTCGAAACATACCTTTGAGTCTTCATCACTCTTGCCGTAACTTCCAAAGTTTGGACTTCTCAAAATTTGCCATGACTAACTTACATTTACACTAATCAGTGTACAAGTCAAGAAATTGCAATTTTCTCCTCCAAGACAGATGTAAGCAGTGAATGAGCTGCTAACATCTCATTACAAGCAACGATGTGATTATGTGGAAAATAACACAACAGGGATGCCTGAAGCAAGATTTTTAGCCACTGAGATCTGAGAACTTGGTCATAAAATACTGACTTAGATTGAAACAGTCAGGATGAAATTCAGTGCCTTCATACCAGCAACTCCGACACTACTATGCTGAATGGGCTTGTCGTCCTCCTCGTTTCTTTAACATACTTAAATCATGTTGAGGTAATGGGAGTGGCATGGTTGGGAGCTTCAGACCTGGTGTAATTCAATTGTAACCTTGGCAAACTTTTACATTTTAGCAGATCCTCCAGTAACATGCTTCAAAACCCCATAGGAGCCTGCTAAAATTTGTAGGACATGCCTTAGATGAAAATATACTCAGGTAGTTAAGGGAAGGGCTTGTTCTTTTTTGGAATCACTCGGAGTTCGGCACATACTGAAGTTCATCCCTGATAAACCTATGATACCATAGATTCCGCAAACCTTAGACAACTAGGAAGAAATCTGAACACACTTAGACATTGTATAACCTCAGCTAGTGTGTGTTTCCCTCTGCTTCACGGGAGGTGAAGAACTGAAGAGCAGCAATGTTAGATGTACCCAAGCTATATATTGTGTGACAATGTAAGGATGTGAGCCCAGCTTTACACAGCAAACCACTCTGGCTGCTGGAACCTCTGTCTTCCTGCTTATATTTTATCTGTGCTCTCCATAGCCTTCACGTGAAGCAAAAGATGTGGATGTCTGGGTCACCCAAGGGAACTGCTGAGGGGCAGCTCGGGTGAATAAAATCCGCAAGCCAGTTAAAATCCCACTGGGCGAAACACGAGCCTCTCCTGCCCTAAGCTACTTCTTATTCTTAGACTGTCTTGCTTTCTCTGGGGAGGAAGAGCTACTGAAGTCCTCGGACTGAGGCCAGCACTCTTGAGTTGTTCCAGCAGTCAGAGAGAGAAAAACTCAGCCACTGCCTAAGCAACAATGAAAATACAGCACCGAGGGAACGAGAGCCCCAGCCTTGCTACAATACAGGCCCTCGGGTGGGTATGGCTTGGGGTGCTGCCCCTGCGGTGTGTGGTAGCAGGGGTCTGTGTAGCTGCAGGATGGACATCTCCTTTTTCTCAGGGATGCCTCTCTGAGTGTGTGTTGCTGGTCCTGAAGGGTGGCTGTCCCCTGTCTGGACAGCAAGGACTGCCACCGCAGCCAGCAGCCCTCCTGGGACCTCTGCAGCCAAGCAGAAGAGAAATATTTACTGCTCCTCATCACAAAGGATTCAGTCAGGGGATGACATGGAGAATATATGGGCCCTTAATGCTCCTCCCTGACTGCTGTTTGGGCACAGAGGCTACGGATGGGGTAGAAGTGCTGTTTATGGAGTGGCTTACAGTCACAAAGCTCTCTGATTTTGGAAGAAGCTGCCTTTCCCTGGCAGGCTGGCAGTGCCAGGGTTTCGGGGCACTTTGCTTACTCATAAGCCAAAGCCTAGGGAGGGAGACAGAGACCTGTGGCCCAACACACCGAGCCTTCCCCTGGGAGAGAGGTCTGCAGCCAGGGTGGCACCTGCACAGCCCGGCTTCCCCACAGCTGCTTCCCTCATCTCACCACACACCCATCCACAGGGGTGCAAAAGCCCAGAAATGGTTAAAATGCCGCAACATTTCTCACCAGTACTCTGCATTTTTCAGGACAGGAGACAGACAGGCAGGCAGACCTTCAGCCCGTTCACCTTGCACCTTTCCTTCACACATATGCAAAAATCATTGTTACCGAGGGAGAAATCACAAAGATCTCTCTCTGCCGCAGGTAGAGCACTTATGAAATAAAGCCTAAATTTACACAGTAATCAGAATTACTTTTCAAAACAGTGTCTCATTACTGGCTGAAACAAACAGCATGGTTGCTGCCAGGGGAACTGCCAGGCAGCCCAGAAGGGCAGATCGCAAAAGATTAGTTGTCCAAAGCAAAAAAGGAGCAAAGGACTCTTTCTACAAAAGACTGCTTCAGCTGGAAACTAAAAGGAGCGGAGTGAGAGAAGGGGTATCACCCTCCCAGTGTGACAGTCAGTCCCAGGGGGAGAAGGAGCAGAAGATCCGCAGTGCCGGCCATGGCTGCATCGATGGACCTCTGCAGGACCAGGGCTGTTGCCTTCCCGGCCAGCCTGTACTTTTGAACCGTGCCATTGAGTCAGGCCCTGCAGACCCACGGGAAGATGGAAACAGGATGACTGGACCTTTGAAGCTGCCAGGGTGTAACAGCAAGAGGAGACAAGAGAGCCTACGCTCACAGTAACACACTGTCTCTCGTCAGCAGCAGCACATTAATTTGCCGGGTGAGGATCATGCGAGAGAAGCGATGGAGCGACTTGTCAGGAGAAAAGCACCAGGGAGGGGGCCCAGGGAGAGGAGGGGGCCGGGGGGCAGAGGAGGAGGGTGGGAAGGGAAGTTCAGAGAAAATTGCTTGAAATTACAGTATTCAGCTTTTGTTGACAGTATATCAAAGCCCAGCTTCTGCCTTTATGATATTTAAATCCCTGTCGCTTCCCCAGAAAAACAGCATTGGCACAATAGAAACATTATTCACTGGTGTGGGGAGGGGGAGCGCCACTGAAACGGGACTCGCTTCGGGTTGGGACGTGGAGGGCCGGACGGCTCCGCCACAGAGTGGAACAAAGTGCCCGTCTACAGCGACAATGTCCCGAGGAGGCACTTTGAATTCATCTCCTGTTACACAGTTCGAAGCACACACACACGCTCTCACACCCTCCCAAGGGAAACGACCCAGTCATTGCGCAGAGTAGGAGCACTGAAGATGCAACAGCATTAAAATTAAACTGGATGATAAATCATAACCGACAGCTCAGTAAGAGGATTAAAGCTCCTGCCAGGGATTTATGCCTTCTCCTCGACACTGTGGTTCGGTGTCCCTCGTGGGATCTGCAGCCTCTTTACTGGTGGTGCCAAGCGCACCTTCAGAGCGATCACCTTCTTCCTTGGCCGGCGGCTTGCAAGGGCCAGAAGGGAACAAGAAGGGACACAAACCCCTCTTGGGGCAGAGCTCTGGGAGATGGGTCGGGGGGGTGGCAGAGATCCCGACTGTGCCAGGACAATGTGAGCTGCAGGAGAAGGACAGGGAGAAGCCAGGCAGTGCCTGGGCGAGGGCAGCTCCCCAGGGAGGCCGTGTGCCCTCGGGGGGCTGGCATGTCAGCCCTAAAGCAGGTTTTACACACACCCGCATGTTCATGGCCAGGTTCTAGATGCCAGGAAGAAGCAGTGTCAGAGCTCCTCACTGGAGCTAAGTAATAGCGAAGGCCCACTGAAAGCCAAGCGGCTTGTCAGAGTTGTGCCTCTGAGTGGCAGAGCCGAGGGGCCAAGGAGAAGGTCGTTCCTCCTGGCGCGGGTTTAATGTCAGGCTGGAGCTGCCTGTGCTGCCCATACAAAGCTCAGCCCAAAGGGGTGGAAGAAGTTATCAAATGTTAGCTGGTAAATAAGTTATCTTCATAGGACTGTGCAAACATCAAAGCAGCTCTGCAAGACCCCGTGAGGGAGGTAGCTACCTGCCCCTCTCCAGATAGCTGGAAGAGGTGGGGGTGCTCTCGTGGCTGCTTTCAGGAGACCTTATGTACGCCAAGGGAGTCTCTGCTGGAACACGGCTTGCCCAGCTTTAGCTACCAACCCCCGCCAAGGGCTCAGCCCATGAAACCATCTATTATCTTTAAGGCACCATTTGCCAAGCAATGACATCAAAGGCATTTGCGTTCATAAACCTAAACTGGTTCTTTATTAGAAGAACAACAGATCTAGCATTTGAGCCTTGTGCAGACAGACTTGCTTTGCCACCTCCCTCCTGCCCCTGTGTTCCCAGCTAGGTGACAACTTCCTTTCCCAGGATATGTATGGAGGAGCAGAGGATGATGAGGAATTAGGCTGGAAGCCAAAAGCACTGCCCACTCTGCGTGCAAAACCTGCAACAGCCTCCTGGAGGAAATTAAAGTTTCTTTCAGTAGGAAAGTCAGCGAGGTTACACTGGGATTGCATTTGGCCCAGGGATCAAAAGCCAGATGTGTTTTTCACAGTTCATTGTGTTTTAGATACAGCTACAAGCCACACAGGCAGAAAAAGCTGTGCCTTGTCCCAACAGAGATGGATGGCAGGTTAACCCCTCCTCTCATTTGAAAGGGGCCAAGCACACCCAGGTGCTCCTAGCACACAAGTCGTGAGGAAGCCTGACACCAAAAGTCCTGGCAAAGGTAGCATAACCTTGCAAAACAGGCACAGCATTAGTTCCTCAGTCCTCTGGCCACATGAATCCAGGGAATACCGTGAGCACAGAGCCAGCAAGCACTGCCACAGCCTCTGGACACTGCCCTGACATCCAGCAATTCATAGCGAAGGCACTGCCAAATATGATCGGGATTTTTTCATTGCCATCGCTATATTTTTCTTCACTTAACTTGTCTTTTTCAACCTGTGCAGTCTTTTAGCACCAAGAACTTCTTTTGGCAAGCGGTTCCACAGTTTCACTATGCTTTTTTGTTTGTATGAGATAAGACTGGTGCACAAATGATAACATGGACGAAGCCAAAGTCTATTTTGCCTTTCCTAGAAGCACCACTAAGGTTAGGGTTCAAACCTCTAACAGGTCCTCTGCATTTCAAACTCGGCTTCCATATGGCAGGACTGCATTTTTTTAAGTTCTTATTGGGATTTTATAAATCAGATCAATTCATGGAGAGATGACAGAAGGTGGAAGAGATATTAAATTATTCAGCAATGTGGGCATGTACAATGGATTTGTGACAGCTTTTACCTTTGCACTTTTCCTGTGCCCCAAGGGTAGAACAGTAAGGATTGGCCTGCATATTTGTACATTCTGCATGCAGCCAGGAAAGAGATGGAAAGCGTTTTTCAACCTTTCGTTCCTCAGTTTGTTTCTGTACTGAGGGAGAAGAGCAGATATTCCACACAGCCGTCGTGCCGTTCTGAGTGCGTGTGAGAGCACACTGAGCACATTGGCTGGGAGTTTCTCTAGAAGCTCTAAGTATTGTTGTGTGGTTTCTTCCCTTTCCAGGCATCTTCGTCTCCCCGATTTCTGGCCAGGAACACAACCTGAAGTGCCCAAGTGCTGTGGTGAAGCCAGCTGTCATGACATTTCCAACCCAACCAGAAGTGCAGGAAATCTCCCAAGAAAGCTTATTTTTATAGACTCCCAGAGGCTTGCATATGTCAGATATGCTTATCCAGACCAAACCCAGCCTTCCTGAAACTCATCCCTCACTAACATTAATGCTTTTTTCCATGTCAATTTGAGTGGTGTAAGATTTTTGGCAATCAGGGAGTAGTAAAGATTTGTTTACAACTGTTTTGGAATGGATACTGGTTTGTTTATTGCAACTCATGCCAAAGGAATATTTCATAACAAGTAATATATTCCAACTTATTAATTTTTTTCACATTTTTCATTTACTGTAGGCCTTTTATCTCAAAAAGTTTTATTGTTTAGCAGTGGCCAACCACATAAAGCAAATGGAGGGGAGAAAAAAAGAAGATATTTTGTAAGATGTTACCCCCTTCTTGAGAATTTCAAAGGTAAAATCCTGGACTGAGGCACAGCAGTTCAAAAACAAGGGAGGGCGGCTAAACTGTCAAATTTCCTTACTTCTTTCAAATATCAAAGTTTACAGAAATGGTGAATCAATCTAAAACCTTTAGTTGATTCTCTCACATATCCTTGTTCCTTGGCCCAACTACCTTTAGTGAACATTTTCAATCATGCTTCCAGTGCAAATATGCACTGCCAGAAAGCTGAAATGGGTTTTCCACAACCATTTAGTTATCATCAGGCTTAAATAATTTCTGGGAACTTTGATTATCCAAAAGTGCACAAAAGGATCTCTAAAGAGCTTTCAATGCCTGACATTAATTTCCTTAAATATGTAAATATTAACCGAATATTTTTTGTAGGATTGTCTGGTTTGAGGTGGTAGGAAGTTGAATAAGTATTAAGCCCCCAGGTAAGATTCCTTGTCTAATGAAAAATAAATCCACTTGGGCCCACTGTTAATACAGAAGGCACAATTTATCCCAAAAAAGAAGTTTATTATGCGTTCCTTTTTATGTGAAGACTTCTGAAGTCAGAAAAGTTTGTGTCCTCGGTAAAATATGCAGAATTGGAAAATCTGCTGAGAGCTGAAGAACTCATCTCTCAGAAATACAGCTCTTTAGGCACCATTGTCGTTATCTGATCTAGAATGCAAGATTTATCCTACATTGGAAGATATAATCTACATTTCCCAGTGTGTTAATAACTTGACCCCTCCAAAGGTCCTGCTGTGTATATTGGAGCTGTCTATTCATTCCCTTGTGGACTGCTGGTTTTGGTATTTAATCTCCAGGAGGAATTTAAGAAGGTCAAAGTCCCCTTCTTTGAGGAATGCCATACAAGTAATAAAACAAAGTACATTTGCCCCTCAGAGAGCTAGAAGTCTGGGAGTTGTGTTGACAAGAGACCTCTGGACTCTTTATACCGCTATCAGCAAGGGGGGGGAAGGGTAGGAAGATAGTTACTGTAGTTTAATAAGTATGGGAAGATGGTTAATATACCTGGAGTTTCGACCCCACTGTGACATTTGATTTCTGTTAAATATAGTGAAGGGGTCAAGGTCTCTTTTCACACCACTGTAATCCTATGGACCCTCTAGGTCTCTGCATGGTGGCTAGAATTTGGACGATGGTTGATTTCTTGGAGTAAGTAAGTTTAGGATGTAATAAAAACTCAGCAAAGTTCCCATAGAGGGATCTGATCATGAAGTAGCTGTGCCAGTAGGATGTCAGCACAAAGCATCACTAAGCCCAAAGACCAAATGGAAAAATCCCTAAGAAGTGTACTTGACATCACTGGCTCAATCCCAAATCCCAGCATCAAGCAGACCTTCTCCTGTCTGCAGAGGACTTCTGAGACAGCAGAAATAGGGCCTCTCGACAGCTGAGAGAAAAAAAAACAAAAAAAACACACCAAAACATTCAAGGATGAGAATTTACCAAGTTGTAACACAGAGGCTTCTTGTTCTGAGACCCATCGGGTATTTCACGCTATTGTCTCACAACAGCCATGGAGATATGGTCAAAATTTCCAAAGGTCATTTCAAAATGTGCATCTGTTGCGGTGACTTTGGGCACAGTTGAGGTTACTGCATGCGTGGATGGGTTCTCAGTGCCTGTACAGCACCCACTAATGATTCTTGCCTCGCAGAGCAGGGCCTAAGATGGGTTGCCAATGTTACGTGATACTAC